TGTAAAAGCTTTCAATGAATATGGAGATTCAGAAACAGAAGATGATCTGGAAGACACAGATGATGTACAATTTGATGATGTCACTACAGTTCTTGAGGAGGAGCAAGAACACAAGGAGCTGAACTTATTTTTGCCACCACACCATCGATGTGCTGCGCACACACTAAATCTCATTGCCACGACTGACCTTGATAAAGCTGCTTCACAGCAGGGTGTTTCCAGAAAATTATATAGGAGTGCAAAGGCAAAATCTGCAGCCATCTGGAATAAGGCTCATCGCTCATCAGGTGCTTCTGATGTAATTGAAGAAATTGTCCAAATGAGATGTGTTGTACCTTCAGTGACTAGGTGGAGCTCAGAATACCATGCAATCGAGAAGCTAATGAATCTAGCTGAAAGTCAGCTCAATGAAATCTGTGAACAACTGAAGGTGGCAAAACTGCATCCTCAAGAGACAGTGTTTCTCAAAGAGTATGCAGCCATTCTGAAACCACTTGCCTACTCAGTCAACCTGTTCCAGGGGGAAAAGAACTGCTATTTCGGATATGTGATTCCCACCCTTCTCAGTCTGAAAGCCAAGTTATCTGAAAAGTTGACACAAGTGCAATTTTCAACTCATATCCTCTTAGCGATCATCAAAGCAATTGACACTCGATTTGCAGCTGTATTAGCCTCCCATGAAGCAAGGATGGCAGCATCCACCATCCCAAAATTTCGACTCTGGTGGCTTGCTGATGATGAGAGAGAATCCATGAGAAGAACAATGGTCCAAGAGGCCCGTCTCCTCAACACAGAACCTTCTAATGACACCAGCACCACTGGATATGCCTCAGTGGGAAATGAGCCGGAAGATGATGATGACAGCTTCTTCAGTTTTCAGAGTACACAGGTGACCTGTTCTACAGCGCAGGATGAGGTACAGAGGTATCTTCAAGATTCAGATAAGACACTGACCTCATTAACCCTTTAAGACCTACCATAGAACCAAGTCCGCCAGAGCTTATATTATATTTTTACATGCTGTGGAGCCATTTTTTGGAGCATTTCAAGTTGCTATACATCAATACAACCATTATAGCCCAAATTTTAATAATGTGTCTGCATTAAGTGCATAGTAATTAGTGACTACTCCAACTCTCTATGCGACGGATGGCCCAGTTAATATGGGGATTGTGGCGCTCGAACCAAGGATAACCCAAAACTACGAGGGAATCAGGGGACGCAAAAACAAAGAACCTGAGAAATTCGCGATGATTTCCCGAAAGAATTAATAAGACAGGTTCTTATTATGGGTGACCGAGGGCAAGGGCTGACTATTGAGGGCAACAACTGAAACAGGGACGTCTAGAAGCCGTGTTTTATTACCGAGGAGATGTATCAGATCACTGTCAATTAAATTCTGTTCAGCCCCGGAATCTAGAAGAGCTTGAGTAGGGTAGGTCTTGGTGTTATTAGATAAGACAGCAGAGAGCTGCATGCGGGTAACCTGAGACCGAGAAAAAGTGCCACCCACCAGTAACTGCGGGGGTACTGGTGGGCCCCACCTTTTAACCGAAGCTGGCAAGTAGATATAACTGACCACAATATAAACACAGCTGCCCCTTAAAACGCCTCTGACGCTCCTCGGGGATAAGTCTTGTGCGACCCAGCTGCATCGGTTCCTCAGTATTATTCCCAGGAGGCGACCACGCTTGGACTGGAGCGGGAGGGAATGAAGGTTGAATGACCGTGCACGTCGAGGCACCTTCCCCCGAGGTTGTGCAACCCTGGCCTACCCGCTCCTTCTCCCTCTCGCTCTTACGCAGGCGGTTATCGATGTGAATGGCTAACTTCACCAACTACTCAAAACTCTCAGATTCGTTGCGGGTAGCAAGCTCGTCCTTCAAACGTTCGCTTAGCCCACAGACAAGTGCCCCGCGCAACGCGGCATCCCCCCACCCGGTCTCAGCTGCCTTAACACGGAAATCGATGGAAAACTCCGCTACAGAGGAGTGGCTCTGTCGGAGCGCCGACAACCGTCGTGCGGCTTCGTCCGCACGCAAATGGTGGTGAAAAACGGACTTAAAACCTTGGACAAATTGAACATATGTGAGAGACTCAAGAGGATGGAGAGGCAAATATGATTCGGCCCAACTTAAGGCTCGATCACAATGGGCGCCAATCAAATATGAAATTTTAGAGGCGTTGTCGGCAAATGCATGGGGAGAATGCTGAAAAAGCAAAGACACCTGAATCAAAACCCCTCCACAATGGCCAGCTCCCCTGCGAATGGTACTAGTGCCAGGGGAGTGGGGTTGCGAGTCGAACATGTACTCCGCGACGCGGGAGGTTCGGGTGGAGGGCAAAGGACTGGGAGTCGAGGGCGGAACAAGTCGAGCCAGTGTTTCCTGAATGGCCGTCAGAGTATCATTAACCCGACCGGCCCACTGTTCAGACTCACGGAACTGACGGGTCCAATTTGACAGAGATCTTTCATGTCTCTGGAGCTGGTCACTAGGAACCTGGTCTGTGCGTTCTGCAGAGTCCATAGAATGGTCGGAGTATTCTGTTATGCTGAGTGAACGGACTCTATGGCAGAACACACAGAACATGCAGGAAGTGCTCTTTATTTACAGTGTCAAACTTATTTACACGGGATGAGAGGAAATCAGGGAAGGGGGCTGACACGCATTCGGAGGGAAAGGGGTAACCCACGCATGCAGGGTGGATCTATGACGCAATAAATATGGGGAGAGTTGGAGAGCTCACTTGTCACACTGGCTGTACAGGCTCGGGCAAGGATTCCCGGGATGTGGGAGAAAAGCTGAGATTGATCTCTGTGGTGATCCCGGAATTGCGGCTTCACGAACAGCTGACAGGCAAGCGGGTGATGGATCTGGGGTGATGGATCTGGCTGAGGATACAGGACAACAGGTAAGCAAACAAAATCCAAGACATAGGTTGGCCGTAATGCACACTGTGGAGAATTACCAGACACGTTATCACTCAGGAAGGTGGCAATACTCCAACACCGGACGTCTGTTGCTGCTCCTAAATAACGCTCCATCAAATGACGTCTGATGTACCGCCGGTGTGTCAGCATCCCGTGACACACCGCCCCGCCTACCTGTGCTGAAAACAGAAGCAGACCCCATGACACCACACCAGAGAAACCACACCAACTCCTAATTATATAAGATCATGTGAGCAAGAAATTCCTCAAGAATTTCTCGAGAAGAAGCACTACTCCTTCACTCACTGACAACTTAAAATTATTCCAGGTTTCCTGTCTGGAAGAGAGTAATATCGCAGCAACCCTCCTGGGGTTATTGTGATATTACCACAAGGTGGAATCAGGTTTGTTGCATCAGAATATTAAAAATTACCACAAATTAGGACTTCATCTAAACTAACACTCTCCCTGATATTAGCATCGCTACTACAACGTTGGACTAAAAAAGCCACAGATAATAACGTTCATGTGAAATTCGACTCTCGAGTTTGTTGACCTGTTAAAGTGGAATTTACACGTCAACAAGCATCACCTGAACACACCATAACCAGAAGAGGACAAAAGAGTAAAGACGGAGCAAAATGAGCATGAGAGGGAATTTTCACATGTTGTCATGTGTTCATGTGTCAGTGCATGTGCTTCATGCCTGTTTGTTTACACAGACACATTTGCATAATTCTGTGTGACACATGCATGCACAATTTACAACTGATGCGTTTGTGTGCGTGTTGTCACCCTGCATGTGGGTGCTGTTTGCTGAACTCTTGGAAACAAAGTGCTAGAGCTTAGCAGAGCGTATCTTCACACCATCATGGAGAAGAGGGAGCTTTATTTCGAGGTGTTACGCACTGTCTCTAACACACACACACACACACTTTGTATTGCAGAAATAAAAGACTTCCCTCACTTTCACTTGTACTGACAGGACGGCTTAGAAAGCTTCATTGTGATTCACACATCAGTCAACACTCTGCAGTGGAAGATTAATGTGGCTTTATTTGGACTACTCAAACAAGGAAACTGTGAATCTATGAGGACTTCCTCTAAAACACCAATTACACTGAGGCAACAGCAGCTAACACAGCTGTATGCGTGTTCAGAGTCGTAGAGAGATTAGTTTAGGTACAAAGCCTAAATATAGGGCAAAGACATTATAGGAATCAGAGAAATAGCACTCAATGTATCCTGAAGAGAAATCTAAGCAAAGATGGTGGACATCCTGCCTCCAAAGAACCAATCGATGACTGAATGAGCCAATCATGTTGTTCATGACGGTTTTAGCTGTGTGTTGGCAGGCAAATACTGGATTGTTTTTTTACATTACACCTACAGTAGGAGGTGGAGTACACCCTGGATAGATCGCCAGCCATAAATAATGATTTGATATTTAACCTCCTAAGACCTGAACTCTTTCATGGCATGCATTTTTAATTTCTCTTTGCTATTTGGGCTGATTGGGACCTGATGAATGTAAAAACAAAGAATGATCTTTTTGCCTGATTTTGCTCTACAGGGGCCTGATATCCACATATGAGGACATTAAATGTCGACAGAGCAGTGGCAGTATAATGTCCTTGTAAGTGGATATCAGGCCCTTGTAGAGCAAAAATTTGTAAAGAATAAAGTTACGTTGAAAACCAAGCACACCATTGTTTTTCTTGTGACATTACCAATAAGTTTGATGTGTCACATGGCCCTCTTCCTATTGAAAAAACAAAAGTTGTATCCAAGATGGCCGACTTCTAAATGGCCACTGTGGTCACCACCCATCTTGAGGAGTTTGCTCCCTCACATATACTAATGTGCCACAAACAGGACTTTAATATCACCAACCATTCCCATTTTATTACGGTGTATCCATATAAATGGCCCACTCTATAGTATAACAATTCAGGACTAAGACTGTGATCCACAACAGGAAGCTATGAATCAAACTTAAAATAAAATGCTGATTATATTGTTAACCTAAATTAGGAAAGAAAATGTAATTTCTTTTATGTTTGTGCATAAATCCTCATTTAGGAATAATAAATATGGACCAAGTTCATTCGAGTAATTAGTGTTTAGTTATTTGTGCATGAAGGACAACAGTCCCAAGTTCTGTGATCACATACAGCTAACAGCACAGGTTAAGGACTTTCCGTATGAATGTGATGTTGTGTTCAGATGTCTAACACAGCTCTACATTCTTACAGTTTGTGACTCACTGGCACTGTGCCTCCTCCTGTCACAGTCTGGTATTGAATGAACAATCTCGCTGCTTTAAGTGTTCGGATCAGGCTGCCTGCTGGCCACCCTACTGGCTCTTCCAGAATGAAGCTGCGGGTTAAATCCCCGACCTCTGGATCGACTCCCACTGCAGATTCCTCTCTCCTCTGTAATTCCCCGTGGGGATCATTAAAGCTACACCTAACCATGAAGTCAGACCTTTGAAAATTTCCTGGTCCTGTTCACCATCTCAGGGAGCCCTGATGGAGCTGCTGAATAGATGTTGGCAATAAAGAGGAGAGGTGGATATCGATACAAGTTCAGGATGGTACATTATTAAAAGTAAAGTTTTAAAAAGGGCAGTTTAACTGAGGCAGTAATTTATATAAGATTTAGCAGTTATCAAAAGTAGCTGATTTCTGTCTATTTCTATCATTAACTACTGATCGCTGATCGGCTGATCGGCAAAGATCAGTTGGTACAATAACAGCGTAACACTTAGTATCTCTGATCTGATCCGATCACCTGCTAAGTCTGCAAAGATTCTTCTGGAGTCCGAAGTCAACTCTGTCTTTACCACAGCAGACCAGAACAGCTGACTGCTGCCTGCCGCGAGACGGGCCAGGAGAAAGGCTGAAAATGGAGGGATGGATGGGCAGCACTGCTCGTTTTCACTGACTTTAACAGACAAATTAAGAAGACCTATGTGCTGAGGCTCCTTTTGGGACGAATAATGAGCCACATTGTGAAACATGTTGAATTATCCTAATTATTCTTTTTCATGTCATTTTCAGATCAGCTCTCATTTTGTGTCTTGGAATCCTTCATGCATCACGGTGTCCCACAGGTCTAAATGCGAGCCAGCTCTGGCTCATATATGTTTGAGGGTGAAAATTTAGGCCAACCTGGAATCACTCACCCAATAGTTGGCACTCACGCCAGGTTTGGGCCAGCATCAGCCAGTGGAATTAGACCCTGGTGTATCAGTCATGCTTTGTTTGGAATTCATGTGCTGAATATGAAGGAGACAATTTGGCCTTCCTCGGTTGCATCTTGTTTGAGTGTGTTGCTGATTTCCACAGCCGTAAATCCTTATTTTCTTATATGCTACCTGCAGGATATCTCTTTTTTTATCCCAACACAAAAAAATATTTCCTAGATTTTCTCGATACATTCTGTATGAAAAAAATGACTTAATAGTTTAAAGATAAAGAAATGTGCATCACTAACTGGCAAAACTGAACTTATTTGATCTTCACCATAGGTATGACTTTAATACTCTGTTATAGGTTTATTAATTTTCTTGGGTCATCCTCTGAAAAGACAAGGACAACTACGAGGATGTTTTTTTTTTCCTATTCAGTTGAGGTGGAGGTGACAGGTCAGATCCCTCCCTTCAAGACTTAAATATGAGGCAGAGGTGGAGCTCAGCAGGTAAGTTCCATGCACCTCCAACTAAAGTACTGTAATCTTGAGGGACGTTTTTTTAGATTACAGGCTTTTCAGTCCTCACTCCAACGGAAAACATGGAGGACACTTTTACCAAGAGGTGTTGCTGAAGTTGTTTTCTTTCTCTTTTTTTTGGCAAGAGATAAAAATGTCCTTGCTAAGTGTATCTTGCAAGGTCTGCCCCATTGTCCCATCTCACTCATTGTCCTCGGCTGTGTAAGAGGGAGTGACAACGCAGCGTGGCAGCTAAAAGCATTCTTGCAGACTCGTCCTCATCACTTCACTCTTCCTGAAAATCAAGACTCTCCTTCATCGGTCGTTTGTTTGCAAAGAAACTCTGAGTGTCTGTGAATCCCAGCGCCACCACCGCGGTCATGTCTGTGACCACCTGAATTTTATTGAGTGCCTTTATTGTTGTTGGGCCGCTGAGGTGGACAGAGATGCCGGATGTTTTAATTAAAAGTTCCAGACTTCATCCCAAAGGCTTTTTTCGGGAGGTAGGTGTGCCTATATGACTTTTCTGTCTTAGTGAACTGCAGCTACAGTCAGGTTTCCAGGTACATGGGGTGAACAAGTGCTGAACATGCATGAAGCACACTGAGGGCAGAAAGAAGCATAGATGAATACACTTTAAAAACATGAATGTTAGATTCACAGAAGCTGTTTAAAGCAGCTAAACAGAAAACACAGTGGCTTGATGCGTGCTCAATCATCCAGGCAAGGAAATCCCAAAAAGTTGATTCCGTTTATCTGGACGTTTGGTCTTCAGTCTCAGCTGTCTGCAGGTTTCCCCAACCTTATAAACTGTGCATTTGCACAATGACTGAAACTAGCATCAGTGATGGACAATGGGCTGTGACATCACTTTGATGAAAAAATGATATGTTAAACTTTACAGTAGAAATAAACACTGGGAGGAAAATAAATAAATGAATGTGAACAAATGAATTAAAAGATGTTTTGATCTATATCGATAATTATGCTAACAGACAGTCCAAGAAGTCTGTGCTCCAGTTTTGGTGAGCGAAAGATTGCATTTGGATGTTAGTGAGCACTAATTAGCAGGTATCTGAGCCTGTACAGCGCATCTACAGGATACGGTCCATGGATACCATCTGCAGCTGATAACTCCACCTTCTCATTTGTGAATGGCACAGGGGAGATCAACAAGCAGTCAGGGAAAGCTATTGGGAAATCAGAAAATTAATTCAGAAATACAAATCAAACAAAAGCAT